AAATGATACCTAATGTATCAATTAATAAGACTAAGTTTGATACTTGCACGTCTCGTCTGTCTGAAAGAAAGGCTTGATGCAGTCCAAGGTGATCTTTGCTGAAGTTGGTTGATGAAAAAGAACCAGTTTGAGTCAGAGAATCTTGGTGAATGGAAAAGTCGAGGCCGAAGCCTGGCACGAACTTAGGGTGTCCTGGAGCGTTATAGCTCACATCTTCTCAATAACCTAACAGAACCACCGACTCTGTGGCGGGTCCCTGGTGTGAGGCCTTTAAGGTCGGAGAAGATTCACGCCTCTCAAGATGGCTTGTCCAATGAGAAAGACTTGAAATCCCAAGCGGGCGGTTGCAACTGCTGGAGGGTTTTACGACCCTTTGTCTCTAAGCATGGTATTTCGCATATGTAATTCGCTTGGGTGTCGACAAAAGATTACTAAAAGTTCTTAGAACCCTAATATGTTGCATAGGTATAAACATACAATATACACTCTCAATTAGATCATCCGAATACGAATTAATAGAGACCAAACACGGAATATGTAAGGTTACATGAATGAGTGGTTCTATCATAAGCATGCATAAAATAGTCTACAATACAACAGATAATATCTATGGGATGATATTAGACTCTAAATGATTAATAGATGCACGCACAATTATCCATGTACTGCATACATTTTATACATGTATTTTACTAACCACAAACAAATGTCTTTCAATTTGAGTCTGTGGAATTCGGGATTAAATGATTGTGCAGCGATTTGTACAAATACAGACATGTTTGTGAATAAAAATGTTTTGTTCTGCATTCATATATCATAAATTGCTCATGCAAAAAGGAATCTATGCATATGTGGATCAGGTGACACGCGTGCATTAATTGATGTCTAGTTCGAGTCAATCTTGTTCAGTTCATTTGGATTTTGAGACTTCATTTTCGCAGTTTACAGCATTTCACAACGCTCACACACACAACTACCAACGAACAAGGCCCAGTGCAATTCATTAACGTGTACACGATTTGAAAAATTCGCAAATGTTCGTCACTACACTGAAACAAATGCTTTACTGTATTCTACTGTAGAGGAGAATAGCCAAACCAAAAAGAAACAAAGAAAACACAATGTAACATTCATGAAACCGTACTCAATGGAATGCGCACATGTGACTGGGGCTAGTGCCATCTAGTGGTCGCTGATTTTCTTAGGCTCAGCTGCGCTGGATCGCGAGCTGTGTGTGTGTGGATTGGGCAAGGTAACTGCGAAAATGAAGTCTCAAAATCCAAATGAACCGAACAAGATCAACTCAAACTAGACATCAATTGATGCACGTGCGTCACCTGATCCACATATGCACGGATTCCTTTTTGCATGAGCAATTTATGATATATTAATGCAGAACAGAACATTTTTATTCACAAACATGTCTGTATTTGTACAAATCGCTGCGCAATCATTTAATCCCGAATTCCACAGACTCAAATTGAAAGGCATTTGTTTGTGGTTAGTAAGATACATGTATAAAATGTATGCAGTGCATGGATAATTGTGCGTGCATCTATTAATCATTTTGAGTCTAATATCATCCCATAGTAAAGAACCCTTGAGTGAAGTGTAGAAGATTTTTAAAGAAGGTCTAAAAAGCACAACAGCAGTTTAACTGTAGACCTAAATGTCTAAATAATTATTTATTATTTATTATATTATTAAGGTGGGAATGGTCATGAAAAAGTAAATAATGACAGTTTCTGGCATCAAAAAACATGACGAACATATCTTACTAAAGCGCTCAGTGACTATTGTAGGAACTTTTATCCTAAACTCTGTTTAGTTCAAACGTGTGGTTTATTTGCATCGTCTAATCTCCGTTACCCCAACGCCCATAATTTCTCAAAACTTACATCACTTTACTTCCTCTCTGCTTTCCTGTCATTTGTGTAGCAGTTTGCTAACTTTCTTCCAATTCTGAAGCAACTGTGTTATGCTTGAGGAAACCAAAAAACATCTCCATAGCCATTTATGACGGCTGTATCTCTAGGGCATTGCATTTCGACGACATTAAGTAAGGCCTGTTTAATACTTGATTTTGTGCATTACTGATTCTTTCTTGTTTGTTGTAGTTTTGATTACAGTAACTGTAGCTTTAGGAACAGTTTCATAGTTTCTATCTGCTTAACCGTTTGTTCACTAATCCACTCACACAAAGTATTATCAAGGATGAATCAAATATTAATATTGATTAACATTAATCAGTAAACTGGGATGACTTTACTATTTTTTTACTTCAAACAGTAAGACTAATTTTCTTATAAAGAGTTGTATAAATGGCAATATCAAATTAATTTACTAAATACATGAAGGACTCTGGTAGATCGTGAAATGCTGTAAACTGCGAAAATGAAGTCTCAAAATCCAAATGAACCGAACAAGATCAACTCAAACTAGACATCAATTGATGCACGTGCGTCACCTGATCCACATATGCACGGATTCCTTTTTGCATGAGCAATTTATGATATATTAATGCAGAACAGAACATTTTTATTTGCAAACATGTCTGTATTTGTAAAAATCGCTGCACAATCATTTAATCCTGAATTTCACAGACTCAAATTGAAAGGCATTTGTTTGTGGTTAGTAAGATACATGTATAAAATTATGCAGTACATGGATAATTGTGCGTGCATCTATTCATCATTTTGAGTCTAATATCATCCCATATATCTGTGTTACGTGCCTGACGTGTCCTTATCTGGGAGAAACCAGTCCAGCATGTGATTCTGGTAGCAAGCAACCCAGGACAGAGACAACACGCTTTTATGAAGTTTTGTAGACGTAGTGCCATTCCTGAATGTCCTTTCAGCAAACAAATAAACAAATAAATCTAAAAATAAAAAGTTAAGCTCTGGTGTTTAATTCAATTAACAAGAAACATCAAACCCAGCAACAATAAAGTGAAAAAGTGGGCTTCAATACAATAATACAGTATATACAAACAGTAAAGTTATACAGAATATTCTGCTAATTGGAGTGAACTGATTTCAATAATCATGTCATACAGACCATGAGGCCTGTCTAATGGAATTTGCCAAGCTTTATGTAGTGGCGCAGCAGTGAAAACAGACTGACCCACAAAGGGAGGCACACAGGACATCCAGGTTGATGCAGTAATACCCACGGTAGAATCAAAAGGAAGGTTTTACAATAATACTTATGAATACCAATGTGCTTGTTGTTTGTACTGTTTTATTTACTGTTATATATTGTGTGTATATTCTTGTGTGAACTATGAACCTTTGTTTTGTAATGACCTTTTTAAATAGTATGTATTGTGTTGTTTATTGAACTTAGAATAATTTTTGTGGCTGAATATAAAATAAATAGATATATTTTAGAAATGTTTCAAATTGATCAGAATTGGGTCTCAATGTCAGTTTATTCTAGATTGTTTTTAGAACATTCTGTCGTCCAATGAGAGAAGGCAAAGGATGCACAGAAAGCGGTTGTGGAATATCTAAAATATATAGGGATATATTATAGGATTTAGTTTATTGTATTTATTTATTATGGGTATGGATGTGTGTGTATATATATATATATATATATATATAGAGCCTATGTATGTGTATGAGTGTATGTATACATATGTATGTATGTGCGTATGTGTATGTATATATATATATTTTTTTTTTAAGATTACGTAAATCTATATAATAATCCATGCTGCATACTCCGGTACGGTAGGTGGCGGTATGCACCTGACAAGTTATGATTGCAATCCGCCATTAAACTAAAACAAGAAGAAGAAGAATGAGAGAAGGCGGCAGAACTTCCGCTGGTCAGTGGTCAGTGTTGCCAGAGTCAGTGTTGTCAGTGTTGCCAGATTGGGCGGTTTTGAATTTGATTGCGCGGGTGGACAAAATTTGGGCTGGTTTTGGTCAGCTTGGTGGTTTTCAAACATATAAATTGCATAGGCTAATTGTTTATTTGAAAAATAATGTGTTTTTTTAACATTAAAGCATGTCAACATATTCTGTTACACCAAATACACAAATAATGATCTTTAAAAAAGCATCATATGACCCCTTTAACAAATC